CGAAATGATGTCTCTAGCCAAATCTCTTTCAAAACCTTAAAATGGATCATTTAAAAAATTTAAAAATAATGCAGTGGAATTGTTGTGGTATAACCAACAAAAAAATGACATTATATCCATCTCCAAGGATTTTGATATCCTTTTACTTTGTGAAACTTTTTTAAAATCTAATAAATCATTTTCATTTAATTCCAACTTTAACATCATTAGATCTGATAGACCTAACTTTAATCGGGGTGGTCTAGCAATCGCAATAAGAAAGGAAATTACCTTCACCAGAGTTTCAAATATTCTCAATATTGAAAACAATCTGGAAACGCTTTCTATTTTAATTGATACATCTATAGGTAAATTACTAATTGTAAATATTTATAGAGTTCCTTCTGATGGTAGAAGAATTTCTGAAAATACGTGGAACAATTTTTTGCAGTCAGCTCTTGCAGTAAACTCATCCGGAATTTTCATTGGAGGTGATTTCAATTCACACAATTACATGTGGGGCAGCTCTCGAAACTGTCCAAACGGTGAAACTCTTTGCTCGGCCCTCGAAGATTTAGACCTTATTTGTTTAAATGACGGTAAGATTACTTACGTCATTAGACCAAATGAGTCTCCATCGATCCTGGATCTAACCTTTGTAAGTCCTCAACTTTTTATTCACTGTGCATAGGATGTTTGGGATGATTCCATGGGAAGTGACCACTATCCCGTCGTAACCCATTTAAATGTTAGAATTCCCATATCAAAATTTTACTCACACAAATATAATCTTAAAAAAACCGATTGGGGCGTTTTTTCCACTAATTTAAAAACCTCTTTAATTTCTAAAGCAGATGAAATGTCTCCAATAACTAATCCAATTTCAAGTTATAAAATTTTTGTTGAATGTATTGATGAAGCAGTTCTTTCCGCTTCACCACAAAATTCTCAACCTAACGTAATCAATAATAATAGTAATAATGGTGGTAATAACAATAAAAATAATAGAATAATCAGACGTAAACCTTCTGTCCCTGCACCTTGGTGGAATGAAGAGTGCGATAACGCAATTAAAGCTAGACGTGAAGCATCAGTCAACTTCAGAAAATCTTCTAATTATGAGAATTATTTAGAGTATAAAAAATGCGAAGCAAAATGCAAAAGAACCCTTAACGAGGCTAGGAGAAATTCCTTTCGTGAATTTTGCAATTCACTCAATAGAACCACCCCCATTACTAAAGTATGGAGAGTTGTAAAATCTTTTAAAAATAGATTTACACAACCTTCCACAGGTTCTTGTTCAGCTGATACTGAAACAATTAAAAAATTACACGACTTAGCAAATGAGATGTGCCCTCCGTCAGCTTTTCATGACTCTTTTCCTCAAGGTTTTCAACCAAATAACTTCTTAGAATCACCTTTTAACATTTCTGAATTAAATATAGCCATATCAACTCTTAAACTAAAATCCTCTCCAGGATTAGATAAAGTAAATAATAAAATAATTCAGTGTCTTCCTAAAGAAGCAAAATCATTATTATTAGAAATTTATAATAACATTCTTTTATCAGGCAATATCCCTCCTTCATGGAACGACTTTTTAGTTTTCTTTATTCCAAAATCTACTCCGTGTAAATTTCGGCCTATCTCTCTTGCTTCGTGTTTACTTAAGCTGATGGAAAAGCTAGTATACAATAGACTCAGTTGGTTTTTAGAACATAATTTACTTTTATCACCTTCACAATTCGGCTTTCGTAAAAGTAAGTCTTGTGCAGACAATTTATCTGTCATCGCAACTGAAATTTTTACTGGTTTTACAGAGGGCGAGGTTACGGCGGGTTTATTCCTGGATCTTAAGGGAGCCTTCCCGAGTGTTGTTCCGCAAATTTTAATGGAAGACTTAAAAGAAATTGGAATCCCTGAGAAAATTGCAAAATTCATTTATAATACAACAGCATGCAAAAATGTTTATTTTAATATTAACGGTGAGTTGACAGAATCCAGAGTTAGTACTGTGGGTCTTCCCCAAGGATGCATGTTGAGCCCAATACTTTATTCTATTTATACACGTAAACTGTTCAACCTCCTTCCCCAAGGCTGCATTCTAGCTGAATTTGCTGACGATATTGCAATTCTCGTCAGATTAAAAGATCCCCATCAATGCTTAAGAATACTTCAGGATTGCATAAATATTTTTTCGACATTTCTTTTTGACAGGGGCTTAGAAATTTGCCCGGATAAAACAAAGCTATTACTTTTTAATAAATTAAAAATAGATTTAGAAGATCCTACTCTTTATCTTAGAATTAATAATGCCAATATTTTTCCCTCCACACAAGTTACATTTTTAGGAATTGTTCTCGATTATAAATTAACTTTCGACTGCCATTTTAAGTTTCTCCTTGGAAAACTCTGTAAAACTTTAAATGTCATAAAGGTTTTGAGAGGGGTTTGGTGGGGTTCTCATCCCTTAATTCTTCTTATTATTTATAGAGCACTGATACGAAGTTGTTTAGAATATGGTTCACACATTTTCAATTTTAAAAATCACTCCTTGTTTTCCAAGCTTGAGAAACTTAGAAATCAAGCTATTAGATTGATCCTCGGGTATAGGATGTCTACACCCATTAACGTCATGTTGGCGGAATCTTGCAAACCTCCTCTTAAATTTAGATTTGATTTTCTTGCAAAAAAATATATTATTAAAACTCTCTCGAACCTCAATCATCCCTTAATAAACAAAATTAATAACTTACTCGAAATAGCTACACAAACAAACCGTTTTGGAATTTTAAATACCTTTACTCTCTTAATAGCCTATCGAAGAGCTAAAGATTTTAGTCAACTTATTAATAAATCATACCGTCACTCCTATTATGAATTTCCTTACAGTGATCATATTTTCAGACCTCAAATAGTTACCGACATAGGTTCTATCATTCAAAATTCTGTTAACCCTTCTCTTCTCTTTAAAGATATTTTAGATAATGATTTCAAAGATTATTTGTGTTTCTACACTGACGGTTCCAAATCCGAAAACGGCAGACTTGCAGGATGCGCCTCTGTTTGCCCATCAGCACAATATGTACAATCTTGGAAAATAAATAATCACGCATCTATTTTCTCCATCGAAGCTTTCGCAATCCTAATTACTCTAGACTATATTAGAAATAATAACTTCAAAAAAGTTGCCATTTTTTCTGACTCCTTGAGCGTTTTACAAAGTGTATCATGTCCTAATCCTAGCAGCATTAAATCACACTTGATTTTACTAATCAGAAACAGATTAGCTACCTTATCTACTCTACAATTTGACGTTAAATTAGTTTGGGTCCCAGGTCATAAAGGTTTAGATGGCAATGAACTGGCTGATGAAGCTGCCAAGTTAGCTTCAACTAACTCTCCACTTTTAAATTTTGGTCTCCCTTTTTCAGATTTTGTGAGATCTCTTCGAGAGCAATTAAATATTAAGTGTCATGACTATTTTGTTACAAGAGGAAAATATTTTGGCTCTCATTACACGGAACGCTTCTATCGACTTCAAAAAAAACCCTGGTTTGCATCATTTCAAATTAACAGACAAAAAATCGTATCAATCTGTCGCATGAGAAGTAACCATCACTCTCTTAAAGAAAGCTTACATAGGAAAAACATTGTTAATTCTCCTGCTTGCCCTTGTAACCCCCAAGTGAATGAAGATCTAGAACACGTTTTTTGGAACTGTCCTAGATTCGACCAATTTCGCCCTAAATTGATTCAACGACTCTCTAAAGCCTTCAAATGTATTGCTCCATTTAATAGTGACATTTTTCTTTCAAACCCGTCACCAGAAATTATTTCTTATGTTTTTAATTACTTGAAACAAACCAACTTAAGCATTGATATCCACCTTTGACTCTCCTGCTTCTACTTCAACATAAATTGCTCTACTCATGTTCCAACTTTGGAAATACCTATACCATATAACACTTACCGGATCATGGCGAGATATACAAGGATATACCCAGTATAACGCCAACGCATGCGCTCTTACGGCGCATGAACCAAATCTACTACTATTCTTTCTCTCGCAAAAAGTGTGCGAGTGAGATCTGGTTGACGTATATTTCTCAAGTCTTCCATGCGTGTTGTGATGAAGGGGTTATGTGTTATTATTGTTATTATTTTAATAATTATTATTAATGTTTATTTTAAAATGTCGTGCTGTGTGCCAGGATGTAAGAAAAATCTTTTTCATGACATACATAATAAATAATATGTTTGTAATTACTATGGCTCCATTATTCTTTTAATAATTACTTCAATTTATTGACACTTTAAATATTCCAATAGCATAAATTATTATATACTTACACATGATTTTGGAGATTCAATATCGCAATGGTAAATAAAATTTCTGAAATAAACACTGAACACTAAGATTTTTTTGTGACATCATAATATGTATATCGCATAACCATACTTTTCATCTGTCAAAATTGAGGTCCAATGCACATGCTCAACTACTTTGGCCAGTTGAGTACAATGCACTGCACCTGGCACTTATCGTACATGTTTTTCTGACATTTTCAAACGCAGAGATCGGTCTCCTTACTATTCCTCCGTGATATTTTCTTTAATAGAACTGGTACAAGTTCAGCTGCTGAACTTGTACATTTTCGTGAACAAGATCTTATACAGAGATTTTAAACAGGGCTGAATGGTTATAAATAATAAATAATTCATTTATTATACAACAATGAATTTACATAGTTGGTTTCTTGGATACGATTGTGATTGTCCATTTCAAGAAATAAATTTTCGGGATTAATATTTATTGGGAAAAGTATCCCTCCACCGATTGTTAGTATCCTTATAATTTTACATGTTTTAATTAATTCAATTCTTTCTTAACAGAAAATTTCGTTTTAAAAAATAATGCCTACTTTTATTAAATATTATTCCTTTAAATATACATTTTAATTAGATTTTGATCTTAATAATTTCAATTTATAAAATAAACATTAATTATATGATTACAGTGACAGCTCTTTAGAATGTGGCAGTATCTTAGAAGATTCATCATTACCAGTAACACCAAAGCCGTCTAAACCATTCAGTATTGATCTAGACGTAACATCTAATAGATCAAGCATTATATCACAAGAAGAATCAGATGGTACTTAAAAAAAGTGTTTCATCTATTAATTTAAGGTCGAATGTTTAATACTGAATCTAAATTTACAAGTCATAAAGTATATAATACACTTTATGCTTCAAGACAAAAGCCTTGAAAATGTTATACACTAATGAACATTTTTAAACTTGTTATAAATGATTTAGTACCTGACGAAAAAAAGTGCTGTATATTTATATTAGGATTGCAATCGCTTGATTTTCAAAGAAAAATATTAACCTAACTTGCAATATGGCATTGTGTACTTTTAATCAACATTACTCTACTTCTGATAAAATCTTAGAAATAAAAGTGGATTCGAAATCCTCGTGGAAGTATTCAATTTATTTAAGATAAACGATTTGAAAATTTAATCATTATTAAGAATGGTTATCGTGTAGATGTTTAAAATTTTTTTATTGATTTATATTTCTCACTTCTACAGTATTTAAAGAATCTGACTGAAATATATATATTATTTATTGATGTAATGTATTAATTTATATCAAATATTATCTTTGAAAAAATCGCTCTTAAAAGTTCAGTTATTTTTATTTACACTTAACCGCAATTCGTAATGGCTTTTTGACCAAATAATCCCATTAGATTCGCACGTTTTAAGAAGAATATTAAACCTAACACATTAAGTTTTTATTATTATTTTGTGGAGGAGTTTCAGCTCTATGTCAGCAGAAACTTATTATTTTTTACTAATTCAACTTTTTATATTAATAGCTTTTATTAGTCCTTAATTTTTCAATAATTAGAACCCAGTTGAAAATTCCTTTACAAGATCCTGTACAGGAAAATTTGTAAAACTTTAAACGATGTACAATTGTCTTTAACTAAACTGCACCCTAGAAGAAAATCACGCTTTGTGCTTTTAGCGGTCTGTTAGACCGCTATTCCTTTTGTGTTTTTCTAGCGATTTAGAATTATGTAATGACAACTGTCGTATATATTTTTATTTTTTACATTAAAAAGACTATTTCTATAAGCAGTTGGGAAATTCAACGTTTAATAAACTAGATAAAGAAATAATTTCAGGAGAGAAGGGAGCTGAGTATTGAGGAAAGTATGTTCGGAATAAGGAAAGTAAAGAAATTTTGGCTAAAATGAAATGCTTGAAAATTACAAGAGGAAAAAGTTAAAAAAATTATGATGGAGTGGAAAGGTGGCAGGCAGGAGGAGGATTTGAAGGAACAGCTTGTTGAGACTGAGAGAGGAAATTTTAGAGTTGTGTATTTTTGTAAAAAATGTAGAAAAAAAGTTAAGAGGAGACCTAATGTAGCACGGAATATTGCTTGAATATCAAGGTGATATCAAGATATTCGTATGATACCGAGGGAATATTCCCGTAAAATTCATGTTATATTGAGGGGATATCCCCGTGATATTGAGCGGAATATTCCTGTGATATTGAGGGAATATCCGGTGATATAGAGAGAATAATCCTGTTATTTATAAAATTCTAAAATGTTTGTTTTGATTGTTTTGAATATTTAAATAAAAAAATAAATAAATGAAAAAAAATCGGACAAGTGCGAGTTACACTCGCACTGAAATCGAGAGTTCCGTACTCGAAGCGAACTTATTTGGTATAAAAACAAATGTTTAAAAAATATGTGTTGTATGACAACTAATATAAGTGATACAAAAAGGAACAATTTTGTAAAATTCAAGAAAATTGTTCCTCTTCGTATCACTTATATTAGTTGTCATACAACACATATTTTTTAAACATTTGTTTTTATACCAAATAAGTTCGCTTCGAGTACGGAACCCTCGATTTCAGTGCGAGTGTAACTCGCACTTGTCCGATTTTATTTGTTTTAGAGTTGTAACGACTGAAGAAATAAACTCAATCATGTTTATTAAATTATTTCTATAATCTATACATAAAAATACGTAAAAATAGTAAATTTGAAGCCCTTTAGAAAAAATTTTTTCCTTTATTGGGAGAAAATTCATGATTTTTTCTAAAATTATCAGTTTTTTCTTGACAGCCCCAGAAAAATCAACTCCAATCATCCTCGCTATATTTTTTTTGTAATCTACACGTAAAAATACGTAAAAATATATAAATTTGAATCACTTTAGATCAACTTTTTTGCGGAAAAATACATTTTTTTCTTAAATTTATCATTTTTCTTCAAAAATTTGATAAAAATTGATCATCAACTCCAATCGTGCTTACATTTTATCCCTGTATTTTTCACGCAAAAATACAGTTTTACAGCAAATATGAACAATTTGGGTTGAATATTGTGTGCGCTAGGGAGAATAAATCATTTTTTTCGAAATTTTTGATTTTTCCTTGACAACGCTATGTAAATTGATCCGAATCAAGTTCGCTATATTTTTCCTGTAATTTTCACGTAAAAATACGTAAGTGTACCAAATTTGAGCTCTTTATGTTAAAAGATGTGGCTGCTAGGGGGGGGGTACATAGTCATTTTTAGGTATTTTTCGTAAAAATTCATGGCTTTTCCTTGACAACGCTATGATAATCAACTCCAATCATGCTCGCTATATTTTTTTTGTAATCTACACGTAAAAATACGTTAAAATATATCAATTTAATTTCCTTTAAATAAAATTTTGTTCGTTTTTGGTGGAAAAATACATTTTTTTCCTAAAATTGTCATTTTTTTTTGAAAAACTTGATAAAAAGTTAATCATCAACTCTAATCGTGACCGATTTTTTCCCCTGTATTTTTCCCGTAAAAATACATTTGTATACTAAATATGAACTGTCTGGGTTGAATATTGTGTGCGCTAGAGAGAATAAATCATTTTTTTCGAAATTTTTGATTTTTCCTTGACAACGCTATGTAAATTGATCCGAATCAAGTTCGCTATATTTTTCCTGTAATTTTCACGTAAAAATACGTAAGTGTACCAAATTTGAGCTCTTTATATCAAAAGATGTAGCCGCTAGGGGGGGGGTACATAGTCACTTTTAGACATTTTTCGTAAAAATTCATGGTTTTTCCTTGACAACGCTATGTTAATCAATTCCAATCAAGTTCGCTATATTTTTCCTGTAATCTACACGCGAAAATACATATGTGTACTAATTTTCAGCCCTCCAAATAAATTTGTGTGGCCGCTAGGGGGGGGGGTACACGATTTCAAAAAAACCGATATTAATAGGGTTCCAAACCGAGTACGGAACCCTAAAAATAGAAAATTTTTTTTTTAGAATTTTTTAAATTATCTCATCAATATCACTGGAATATTACATCAATAGCAGAGGAATATTCCCTCAATATCACAGGAATATTCCGCACAATATCACAGGGATGTCCTCCCTGGCCATTTGTATGAGGAGAATGCTCCACGAAATTTGCGGAGCATTCGAGGAACACGAGATTAAGATTGAAATTCTGTCTAAAATGTATTAAAAAAATGATGAAATTGGTAGTATATTTATTAAAATCAATAAGTTTTATGCATTTTAAGATGATTATTGTTTAATAATTATAAAAATTTAATGTTTTTATTAATTTTAATCTATTACAGTTTATTATCAACATTTGGCGATAAAATCAATACAGCTGCGCTCCCGGCAAGAAGGATGTCATTAAAATGTATTGAAACTTTTCAATGCCTTTTAATTCCGTTTTCTGCCGAATACTTTTGAATCCCTACAAGTGTATTATGGGGAATTAAAAGGCATTAAAAGGAATAAATGAAAGAACGGCATTAAACGGCATTAAATAGCATTCACATGAATGTTTTCTAATGCCAACTAATACCATTTTTTTCTTACGCTATATAGAATAAAAATTAGAAAGAATAAAAACAAATTAAAATTAATTACAAAAAAAGAAATATTTTTCCATGGCAAATATATTTTTTAATCATTTATTTTTTATTCTTAAATAATAATTGACTAGACTTAAAATCTTTTGTGGTATTGCATACAATTTTTGTTGTATGTCGTGATATAACATGGTCGATATAGTAGTACAAAATATAAAACAAAGATGATTTAATCTATGACAAAATATAAAATTTTAAAACAGTGAACGAAAAAACTTAATTTAAGCTTGTAACGCTTCTGTAACGTCTTCTGTTACTACTGCCCTTTGTTCAAACGGAACAAATTCGAAATCTATTATCTCTTGCAAATTGTCGTCAGCAGGAAGCTGTTGCACATTTTCGTCTGCAAGAAGCTGTTGTAAATCATCATTAGAGGGTGGATCAATATTAGCAGATATTTGCGAATCCTCTTGAGAAGAGAGCTCATGTTGATCGACATCAGAAACAATTTGTCCATTAGCACTATTCTCACTTTCAATTTCAAGCCTAGCACCGATAACACTTCAATTTAAAACAATTTGTTTTTAGTTTGGATTGATAAAACTATATATATATATATATTTTGAAACTGAAATATAATAAAATTTAATTAGTAATAATAAATGTTAAATAATTAAAATAAATATAAAAAATATTCGAAAGAATAAAATAGGCAATACCTTTTACTGCTAAAATAACAATAGGATCAAGCTGCTCTATTTTTCCACTTTGCTCTTTGGTTCTATTACTTTTCTTACCAGTAACGGTACTGTTTGATAAAACTTCACCCTACTGAAAATCCCTATATAAGATCTTGTACAATTTCCTGTACAGGATCAGCAACTAAACTTGTACAAGTTCTGGCCAGTTCCTGTACAGGAAAATGCATACGAATTTGGAACAAGTTTATGTGTGAGATCTTGTACAAGATGTGGTGCAAGATCTTGTACAAGAAAGATACTTGTACTAGAAAATATACATGATCTTGTACAATTTCATGTATAAGTACTTGTACATGAACACGTTCATGTTCTTGCACATGTATAGTTGTAAAATTTTTTTTTTTAATAAAATTTGAGATTTTGATAATTTTTAACCACTAAGATTCGTAACTCATACATGCTAAAAACTATTGCGCAGCTGTAAAGGTTAAAGTAAACTATTGCGCAGCCTTTGAAGTTTTTAATTTTTAGTAAAGAAAAACATGAATTAACATGTGCAAGAACATGGACGTGTTCATGTACAAGTACTTATACATGAAATTGTACAAGATCATGTACATTTTCTTGTACAAGTATCTTTCTTGTACAAGATGTTGCACCAGATCTTGTACAAGATCTCACACATGAACTTGTTCCAAATTCGTATGCATTTTCCTGTACAGGAACTGGCCAGAACTTGTACAAGTTCAGTTGCTGATCCTGTACAGGAAATTGTACAAGATCTTGTACAGGGATTTTCAGTAGGGGATATCCACATAAAGCTACTAATATATTCTTCGGAAATGTTTGTATCCTTCTCTTTGGTACGTTACAAGCCAAATAATAAGCTTGTTTAGACAACCATTTATTTCGACCCAAGTGTATCTAAAAGAATGTAATTATTTATTTTACAATTGTACAATACACATTTTTCAGTAATATAACAAAATATCATTTTGTTCTAACCTCGGTGTTATCAGAATTCCATGAACCAATAGGAGGAATACACGCATTCGATGAATTTCCAAGATTTGAATCAATAGGAAGAAAAAACGCATTCGATGAATTTTCAGGATTTAAATTGGGCATTGCTGTAAAAAAGAAAGTTTTAACATAGATATTGAATAATAATTACTATATTTCTTTAAGTGTAGTTGTTGATTCTTACAAACAGTCTGCTGCAACTTATCTATGCCACTTATCTGCAAATCCTTATTAACCTGCCGAATTAAATTCAGTTCATTTTCCTTATTAAGTATCTCTTCATTTGATACTTGTACACTAACTTCTGCCACTCTTAAATCATTTTTCCAATTTTTCAATTTCAGATTGAGACTCGCTGTAACGATTAGTGACAAATTCTAGATCTTTTTTACATTCCTCTAATTCCTTTTCTAATTTCTGCACTTTCTGTACTACTATCACATTTTCTTGAAGTACAGGCAAAATATTTGCACGGTTCTGCGGTGTACTCTATATTTAAAAAGAATCAACATTATTTTCTTAAAAGTAGTTAATAGTGTTGATACATATTGAATAACGTGAAAAATTTTACCAAGTTTCTAGTATATTATTAGACTATACATATCGAATAATTGAGGAGTAATAAGTTTTCAAAATCTGATAAATCAAAATTTTGTCATTTCGAGAAACTCAAACAATAAAGGACATTTCTGACATATGTAACCACTGAAGTTCATTTTAATGTAAAAAATTATAAAAAATCGTTTATAATTGAATATTTTTTATATTTATTAAGTTTTGTTTGTAAATAAAGCATATTATAATTAAAATATTTAAAAGTTTGGTAAATTTTTCTAGTAACAAAAAATTTCTGCATCTTTTAGGTTAAGTCAAATTTTTTAAAATTTTAAAATTTTTGATAATAAAATTTTTTTCACAAAATCTACAGTAGAAGATTGATTTTTAAAGTTCATAATATGTTAAATATGTCTATCTTAATTTTTTTTTTAAAAAATGGATTTATCAGTTTCTGAAAAATTATTCCTCAATTGTTGTAAAAAAATTTAAAAATTTTGATTCTCTTGAAACTTTTGTCATGGTCTAGGCAAACTAATTTTAAGTCCAAAACTCTACTTTTAACAAATTCAATATTTTTTCCAGCAGAAAATATTATTTATTATCTACAAATTTTTTTTTATAACTGTTGACTAAAGTTTATAATTTTTTAAACAAACATTTTCAAAAAATTGTAATAGAAAAAAGTATTTTTTTTCAAACGGTGTTTATAAACGTTGTTGAGTTTAACGTATATATATCATCTTACCAGAATAATATTTACAATAATAATAAATTACTATTTAAATAATATTTATATTATAAAGTTTTTAATATCAATTTATATATTTTTTTTTATTTTACCACATCAATTGTAGACAATAAATACAGGAACACATTTATTCTTGATTTTAAAATTATTCATGCACATTTAAACAATAAATTTCAATTAAGTTATTTTCAAAATAATTTAAAATATTTATATTAGGCAAAAATAAAATTTTTGAGGCTTTATAACTCTACATTTAAAACAAATTCAAATGAAGGAAAATCATTGAATAATTTTCCTCTTAACAATTCATATTAAAAATAATAATTTGAAAACATACCTTAGAAGAATCGAACTGTTTATTTTGTATTTGTATATTAGTCACTAGTCTTTTGTCCAAAGCTTGTGAATGTTCTTCATCATCACTGTTATTATTCACCTGTAAATTATTTCAGTAATTTAAATATTTAAAGTGATTAAACGATGTTATTGATTATACAAAGTTATTATACCTTGTTATTGATGCAGTTAATGCTAATTATAATTTATTATAGTAATATAATTAGCAGTATAAATAATTCTTATCGCATCATTATTCATATTAAATAATTTTTTCGATTTAATAATTTAATTATCTCAAAATATCAAATATTCAACTAAGTCTAATAGAAAATATTGTAAAATAATTTGAAACTAAAATATAAAAACGTACTTTGAAAGAACTGGATTCTTTGTTATGTCCTTGTTTTATAAGCATGAGTCTTTTTATCAAAGCGGGTAAATGTGGTTCTCCATCACCATCACTCTATAAATTAAAACATTTCAAATATTTGAAGTGATTTCACAATGATTATTTATAGTTACTAATTCAGTTATAATAATAAATAACAGTTTAATATCAATACTATACATAATTATTATCACATTTGTAACCATATTAAATTTAAAGAAAACATAATCAAAACTCACCTTCCGCTTTTGTGTATGATAATTTTGTGGTGAAGTTTCCTCATCGTCAGTAGATTCGCTAGCTGAAATTAGCATTTTAGAACTAGGACGTTTTGCACGTTGCGTATCAATTGCTTTATTAAGTTCTTCTTCATTTTCTGAAAAATGAATAAAATAAACGATAATAATGTCAAGAAAACGTAACATCACACCATGCGCCAATATCGAACACATGGTTTTGTCCAACACAAAATGATACGTATAAACGGGATGTAAAAAAGAGAATACGGAATATTTTCAATAAAAGCATTATTATATATCTATTATCAAATAATTTTAAACTCACCAGCTAAATGTAAAACCACGCAATCTTCTTCCTTATTTTTCCCATTTACGGAACGTATTACTTTATACTTTTGATAAGGAGAATGAGTGCTAGAATCAAATCGTTTAATTCTAGACGTGTGGATTTTAATTTTTTGGTTGCAAGAAAGTAACAAAACATTTGCAAACATTTTTTAACGCGTTTATAACTTTACACAACTCAAAAAGAAAACAATAATTTCACTGAACAAACACGTAATCACACAACGAAAAATTTACTTTTCATGCTGCATGCCGCGCCGGTTGCTATCAAGTAACAAGGTAAGGCTAGGTATGAAGCAACCTATCCTGTCTCTGCAGTGCGCGCGTGCCTCGTGCACTTCAACGGTCGGAGTGTAGTAGACATAATATAATAGTAGAAACATGTTCATCTTAAGTTAATTAATCTTTATTAATTAACTGAACGACTTTTGAGGCAATAATAAATAATTTAAATAAAAAATTTATTTCACCTGCAGATGAGGATACATTACAGTAAGTCATAAATATATATTTTTACGATTATTGAAAAAAATTCTCATAATAAAGAGCAAAAATTAAATTTTTAATGGATTATTGAAAATACAATATGTATAAATCTAAATCCAATTTATCTAGCGAATAGAATCCTTTCAATGTCAAGGTAATAAATCAATTTTTACATTAATAATATCGAATTTGTTAAAGTGTGTATATATTTTAGATATGTTTTTTATTATTTAAAATGTTTCTTGTTAATATTGATATTTTCCTTTCGAAAAAATTTTAATGAAAAAGCATAAAAAATAAAATCATATATAAAGTTTACTTTAATTATTATTGTATTTTATTACTAATTAATTTTTTTGTTATACTTAATCAAAAAAATTTTTTTAGCATTTTTAAAATTAAAATTCTATTTATTTTACTAAAATTGTTATCTTTAGAAAATTTTTTTTTTGAATCATAATAATATAAGTATAATTAATTTATATATTAAAAGTTATAAAAATTAATGTTAAAAAACGAAATTTATATAATTTATTTTTGTTGTCAAAAAATTAAGAGATTATTAATTTTTTAATTCTAATGACCGGTTTATAAAGATTAATAATACTATATATTGGTCAATGAAGCAGAAGTTTTTTAATACAAACTTTCTTACGATTTACAGCATAAAGCTGATCTAAATAGTAAAATTTGGTTTTCAAAGTCGTATTTTTATCATTTCATTTAAAAAGATCATAATACATAGTAAAGAGTGTATAATATAATTAAAAATTTTTTAATTAATTTTATATAGACTTAAAGTAATTTTTTGTTCTGTACAGCTAAAAAATGGATCCTCCTAAAAAACCAAAGTATTATAAAATGCATTTGGATCCAAGCTATTGTGCGGAAATGGTTTGTGAAAAGACTCACAAAGCATGGGAAAAATCTTATCAAGAGAACTTGAAAAAATCTAATAATGAAGGTAAACATTTTATGTATTTAGATGAACGCCTTTAAAAAAATAATAAATTTATTCCATTTCAATTTTCAAATTTATCTGCAAATTATTGTGCTAATATTTAAGTGACAAAGTGTAAATTATTTATATTTTTAGAAAAAGCAATGCAAACTAGTGCAACAGATGACCTACAGGCACAGTGCAGTTCATTCATGGAGAGTCCTGAAGAATGGAATGAACAAGAAATTGAAGAATCTCAGGAAACAGAAAAAAATTTTGAAAATTACGAATATGATTACGAATGTGATGATTATGATAAAAATGACGAGAATTTAATCGAGGAGACGATAGGATCAACAGAAGATTTTCCTAGTATTTTTAACTCGAGAATCATAGAAGGCGCATCGTTTGAAACTGATTCATCGTCGACTTTTCCAGATGGGGATAAAGTAATGTTTGTCGAATCAAAAATTACGGTAAATAATGTAGTCGAGATGGTAGTAGCTTATGGTGTAAAATATGGCCTTACTCAGAAAGCTAGAGAATCTTTAATTGAAATGTTAAAAATTTTTGCGGGACCAAACTTTAAAGATTTCAAGATATCTAATTATAAATTAGCACAAGTGTTTAATGCACCATCTGATAAAATTTCCTATCACTTTTACTGTCATCATTGTCCCAAAAAAGATAAACTATTGCACTCTTCTTACAAACAAGACATTAAAGGTCAGAAAAAAAAATGTGAAACATGTAATAAAGAGAATATTATTAGCTTAGGTTATCCTAATTTTTTTGTCCACGTAAACTTAAAATATCAATTGGAAATGTTACTTCAAAACAAAGAAGTTGCTGATGCTGTTCATCTTAGCATTAAAAATAATACAAAAAACACTTTACAAAATGATATCCACGATATTCAAGATTCTGAATTGTATAAAGAAACAACTCAATCAAAACCAAATACTTTGACTTATACTATTAGCACAGATGGGGCACCTCTTTTCCATATATCCAAAAGAGGTTTTTGGCCTTTACAGATACTGTTAAATTTTCTTCCTATAAACATTCGCTTCAAATATATCTTGCTCTGCGGTATTATGGTTCTTCTTTCAGAACCGAAGCCCGATCTTATGAACCTCTTTATAAGTACGTTCAATGATCAAGCTTTTCTCCTTTTTTCGGAAGGCATGCGAGTAAAACTTCCGGGTGACGTGGATCTAATAACATTAATATTCTCTCCGTTAAGTGTTGTAGCTGATTCAATTGCTCGTCCTATATTACAATTTAGATTTCAGTTTAACGCTTACTGCAGTTGTAGTTATTGTTATCATCCTGGTAGATATATTAAAAAAGCTAGTGGGATTAGATTTCCTTTTTTGGAAGAGGAACCAAAACTACGATCTAATAAGTCTCATTCGAATGATGTACAATACGTTAAAGATTACGGCACACATTATCGAGGAGTAAAGGGAGAATCTGCCTTTTGTCATACACCGAATCTTGATATGGTTCGGGGCTTTCCGCTTGATTATTTACATAATTCACTTTTGGGAGTAACGGAGCAATTGTGGAATATTTGGAACAAAAATGTTTTTTCTCCAGAGGATAGAAAAAATATTGATGAAGAAATCCTTCGTATAAAACCTCCAAGAGACTTGCATAGACTTCCTGAAAAAATATCAAAGAAATCTTTATGGAAGGCTACCCACTGGAAATCGTGGCTACTTTTTTTTAGCTTACCAATATTGTCGAAATATTTACCAAATGAATTGTTAGAACATTATGCACTGTTTATTAATTCGATTCACACTTTATTAAAAACTAAAATTACCAAGAAAGAACTTGACCAATGCGAAGAAAATTTATTAGTTTTCGTTGCGAATTATCACTATCTGTATCATGAAGAAAAAATGACTTTTAATGTGCATATTGTCCTGCACATTGTTCAATCTGTGAAAAAGTCTGGTCCTCTTTGGGCTACATCTGCGTTCCCTTTTGAGAATAACATTTACAACTTGAAACAAATGATAAACGGTCCAAAAAGTGTAGAGCAGCAAATAGCTAATAAATCTCTCGTCCAATTGCGTTATCAATTAACACCACGTAATCCTTATTTGCTAGATAAAGTCAGTGAATACTGTCAAAACCTTTTTACTACAAAAACATGTACATTATCTTCCACAAAAATAGGCGACATAACTCTTTTTGGACCTAGTCTAAGAAATAAATTTCAAGTAGAACAAGAATACGAAAGATGTGTTATCGAGAACTGCGTTTATAGTAGTTTAGAATATCTTCGTTCCAAAAAATTTGATGACACAGTTTTCGTTGCTAAAAATAATAAAATTTTTCAAATCACAAAAATTGTGGTTACTTCTGAAAAAAATATCAACTTTGAAGTAAGGGAATTAATTCTAGAACCATTTTTAATTGGTAATACATTAGTTTCACATATTTTTCACGTTAAACATAATGTACAGCATGCACCAATTTCTGTATCGGAAGTTAAAGGAAAAGTTGTTGTTCTGGAATTAGAAAAAAGTAATTATGTGTGCCTCATTCCAAACACAATTGAGGCACAATAGTTTAATTTAAAATAATTTTAAATTAATGACTTTGTGAGTTTTAAATTGATTGTATACGTAATGATTTTGAATAACTTATTTTGCGAATTTGAAACTTATTGTATTTTTATATGCGATTTCATAAATTTATATTTGTATTTTTTACAATAAAAATGATAAACTTATATAGAACTAATTTATTTTTAAATTAAAAATTTTTTTCAAACAAAATAAAATGATATAATGCTAAAATGTCTTTATAATATAAATAAAAATAAACAACATAAAACATATATTTTTAAAGCAAAATTATTTTACGTAATTATACAAAATAAAATTTAAAACATTTAAAAAGAACTTTTTCAAACCTGAGTAATTTATTTGTTAAATATATTTTATGAAATCTATGTATTATTTTTGTGATTAAATGTTTAAAAAACAATTATTCCAATATTTTATAGGAATTAAACTTTTCAATTGAAAATTTATTTTAATAATTTAATTATAAATTATTATTCATTAATTACATAAATAATAAAAATATTATTTAGCATTCGCTTTTTAACACTTTTTTTTATATTGAATGGCATTAAAAAGTACTCAAATTAATTTCTCAAAAAAAAGCATTCAATGGCATTCGTCTATTCCACATCATCTTACATACAAGGCATTAAAAGGTATTAAAATTAATAGTTTTGTAAAAAGGATTAAAAAGAATTCATCTGTTAGGGTATTCATACTTAAAAAGGTAATTGAAAGGGATTAAAAGCAAATAGTATTGGATGGCATTGGCTTCATTCAACTTTTTATTTTTAGTTAGGCATTGAACGGCATTCAAACTTTACATAAAATTTTGATGGATTCAAACGGATTGAAACTAATCAAGTTATAATCTACAGAGGGCATTAAAGGGGATTCAGGAAAGAAACGGAATTCATTGGCATTTAAAGGCATTCGATTGTCTGTTTTTTCCAATGCCAATTAATGTCTCTTAATCCACTCCTTCTTGCTGGGCTTTTTAGCAGGTAGGTGGCAGCACTCTTTTTTTCTCTTCTTTAAATTTTTTCTGTATTTTTTTTATTAAAAGAAAAACTTTTACTTGTTAAACGGAAATATTGGTAAAAAAATGTATTATTTTATCAAAAAAATTATTATTTTAATAAAAAATATTGGTGAAAAAAATGAATTTTTATATAAAAAAAGTTTATTTATTTAAATTTATTTATTTGAAACATAACGGGACATGCCCTTTCGTACAAAAGTACTCCTAAATCTAAAAATTACAATACTATTTTTACTAAATCTAGGTAGCCACTTAAGAAAAGATATTTTAGTTTTCGTTTAGCAAGATATTACGTAATGATGTTGTGAATCGTGTGACATTATTATCAAAGAAATTAATGTCGTCAGAAATCATATTTGCCTCTCTGCTAAGTCTAGCAATCAATGAGTTATTACCATAATTAGTTCTGTGAAATGCCACCGAAAACAATGTATATCGCCTAGAAAACATTCTGGGCACTGATAAATTTATCATAGAGAGAAGTGAAGGACAAAAGATAGCTCCATTCATAAGTCTATACAAAAAAGCCATATCTGCAAAGTAGAACCGTAAATTTAACAATGGTATATTTAATACCGATCTAAGTTCCCTGTAATCATGTGTTTGCACATCAAAGCGGATATTGAGTAATCTCGCAGCAAATCTAAGAAATTTGTTCTGAACACGTTCAATTCTGATTATATGGAAGACGTAGAAAGGTGCCCAAATGATACATGCATATTCTATAATTGTTCTGACAAGCGTCAGGTACAAAGTCCTGATGGTTAACATGTTATGAAAAACAGAGGCACATCTCATTATAAAACCCAAGACTTTAGAGACTTTTGAAACAGTCTCAGTAATATGATCATTAAATACTAAATTACTATTAAATACAACCCCCAAATCACGCACCCTCTCTACTCTCTCCAAAATATGACCATCAATAGTGTAGTTGTTTAAATATAAATTTACACTACCTTTCGAAAAGGTTACAACAAAACTCTTTTTAATGTTAATACTTAAATGATTTTTAACACACCAATTTTGGAGTCTTTTTAAATCTCTTTGTAACTTCAAAATATCTTTTTGAAAGGTAGACGGATGAATCACTTTATAACACTTGAGGTCGTCAGCATAAAGTAAAAACGAGGAGTGCCTGAATATTTGCTTAATATCATTCATATATAAAATGAACATTAAGGGACCTAGGCGTGATCCCTGTGATACCCCAGAGGTTGCTAGAAAAGGATCGCTAAATTCACCACCAACCCTTACCACCTGATACCTGTCAGAAAGATAATTTTTGAAAAAAAGAAAAGTTGAAAAGAATTGATTTAAAACGGAAATAATGGTGAAAAAAATTAATATATTATCAAAAATTTTGGTAAAAAACAATTTTTTTATCAAAAATATTGTTGAAAAAATTAATTTTAATCGGAAATATTGGTGAAAAAAAATTATTATTTAATCAAAAATATTGATGAAGATTTATTTTTTTTACCAAAAATATTGGTAACAAAATTTTATTTTTTTATGAAAAATATTGTTAAAAAAATATTGGTGAAAAGAATGAAATTTTTTTATCAAAAAAAGTTTTAAAAAATTAATTTTAAACGGAATTATTGGTGAAAAAAATGTATTATTTTATCAAAAATATTGCTGAAAACGATTAATTTTTTAATCATAACTATTGCGACAGAAATTAATTTTTTTATCAAAAATATCCTTAAAAAAATGAATAATTTTTTCAAAAATATGGCTAAGATTAATTTTTATTTCAATAACTTTTTACTAATCATAGGAATTCTTTTAAATGCAACAAAAATACTTCTGAACGCTTTTACAGTTTGCATATTCCAATTATAAATGATGGCACATGGGTGTTAAAACTTTTTACCGGCATGAACGGACAAGTGGATCCTGCATTCCTAATCAGCACAAAAACTTGCAGCAAGCTTGCTGTAAGAGGACATTTTGTTGCTTGCACCAAAGTACTACATGTTTGCACTGCACTCTTGCACATCAAAAAAATTGAAATTCGTTGCCGAATGTGCGCCAAATCAATGTTGACGAATGAATCCGACATACTTTTTCTACTCTTTCCAATTTTTTCATTTAAATTTAAATTTATTTGAATTTAAGATTTTAACCATCTTTTTCATATTGTACTACATTCAAATTCATAATATAATAAAAAGAAAACCAAAAACACACAAGATCTTTTTTAGTATACAAAAGAATCTAAATTCTACAGGGTTCAAGGGACCCGGCTTGCCCGCTTACGTAACTTTTTAAACTTGCCCGTCTAAGAGTTAAAATTTGTTTTTTTATTGGATTATATATTGCTTTTTTGTAACAAGGAGAGGGAAGTGCCTCAAAATAATTACACATATTCATACTGTTACTAAATAACAAAAGAACTAATAGTAATGAATAAATTTTAATATAATAAATTTTCAAATAGCACAGTTATACATAATTATTTCAGAAAAAGTTTATTTAAATAATCCTTTAAACCAAATTGGTGTGGGCATTTTCTGTTGAGGTAATTCGTCCACTTTACTTGTTCCTGGTATTGGTTTTGTTACATACTTATCACTGGTGGTACTACCACTTACAACACTCGATACATTTGCTTCTTCCAAATTGGCCTTATTTTCTGATATTCCTTGAGTTTCTCTTTTTCTAAAAACAAAAGAAATGCAAACGGTTTATAAGTTTACAATAAGTTTACAATAGTTTACAGTAGATAATAATATTTTAATGTTTTTATGAACAAGTTTGTTTATGTGTCATTTTTAATGAACGTGTAAATTTGAAACGTCGTCATTTTAACAAAATCGAATTTTTTTATTTTTCTCTTTTGATACATGTTATTTATAGTCTAAGATCCCACTGCAAGATTTCTACACTCATCTCTTTTATGGATGAAATTGATTTGAAATGAAAGATTTTTTTATCCTGTTTCCGAAACGCATAGGGTGCCTAACCTTTTATGGTCCATTTTTTTGATACAATAAAAATTTCTGTGAAAATTTGTTGAAATGTTTCACTCATAAGTTTTATGGATGAAACTTGTATTAATGGAAAGAACATGAAAAAAATAATAAATAAATGATAGGTTGCCTCATTTCCAATGGTCTCGTTTCCTGGCAGCCACTTGAAAATTTCCCACTTTCTGTTGAAATATTTCATTTATAACTTTTATGAAAAAATCCACCACCAATGTAAAGATTGATCATTTTTCTACACGATAAGAGTAGGTTGCCTAAAAGAATATGGTCCAGAAAATTAGTTGCCACATATTAAAATTGAAAAATGTATTCGAAAGTTGAGAAGAAATTGCGCAAAATATATACGTAAAACAGGTGACAAAAGACGAACGTATCATAAATTGTTGATACGTAGAGGTTATTTGATATTAAAAATTTGTCAAAAGATAATGAATAATGCAAAATGAACGTATATAACACTCAAATAAAAAACAAATTGTTTTTCAATAATAAAAAAAGCAAAACTGTTTATAATTAAAAAATCATATTAAATTGCGATAATAAAATCCATATATTGTCGTTTGTAATTATTTTAAAAAGTCTTGCATATTACTAAATGCAAAGACATATTAAATTTATAATTATTAAATTTTATTTAAAAGTGGTAATTGCTGATTAAGTAAATGCATAATTGTTAAAAATGATATACGAATTATCTGAGTTCATACATAACTTGTAAATTCTGGAAATTCTGGAACTGGAAAGGTGTGGAATCTTTAAGTTTCTGGAAGATCATTGAAAAGTCATGTAATTTTTTAATAAATTTAAATTTTTTCAAGTTTAAAAATGTTAAGGTAACTTATAGGACAGGAAAATTAGATTTAAAATTTCACTTAAAATTATCTAGAACTGGACTTCAATATCCTGCAAAAGTTAGGAGTTTAAAATTTTAATTTTTGTACAATCTCTCAATACCATATTAATTTTACTGAAAATTTTCTTTGCTGGAAATATATTTTAAACATATAAAATACAAACACTATAATATTATTTATTAATCATTTAATTCTAAACTATATACAGAAATATAATACTATATCATTTTGTATTATAAAGGAACTGATAAAGCTATTACTTAAAATACCAAAAAAGTCAAATGCTCATTCAGACTCAGAATCGGAACTCGCAATGTCTGATTGTAAATCATCAGCTTGTTCATTAGAACTTTCAGCCATATCGCTTGTATTATTGAAACTTAAAATATCGTTTACATTTAAAGGCGTTGGATCTCCATTGAAGAATTTTATCAGTAAATAACATTTTTTGAAATTTTCGTCACTAAAATCTAGTATTTTTTCCCCATTCCGGCAAAGAAAACACGTTTTCATGTTGAATTAAAATATTTTCGGTAATCATTTCATGAATTGTCAACGAATTATTTTATTATTTATATACGTCAAAGAAACAAAACAACAGCGTTCGTGTCATCTAGTTGCGCGGTTTTTCTCACCTTTCAAATAAATTTTTTAATTTTTAATATGTGGCAACTAATTTTCTGGACCATATTCTTTTAGGCAACCTACTCTTATCGTGTAGAAAAATGATCAATCTTTACATTGGTGGTGGATTTTTTCATAAAAGTTATAAATGAAATATTTCAACAGAAAGTGGGAAATTTTTAAGTGGCTGCCAGGAAACGAGACCATTGGAAATGAGGCAACGTATCATTTATTTCTTATTTTTTTCATGTTCTTTCCATTAATACAAGTTTCATCCATAAAACTTATGAGTGAAACATTTCAACAAATTTTCACAGAAATTTTTATTGTATCAAAAAAATGGACCATAAAAGGTTAGGCACCCTATGCGTTTCGGAAACAGGATAAAAAAATCTTTCATTTCAAATCAATTTCATCCATAAAAGAGATGAGTGTAGAAATCTTGCAGTGGGATCTCCTACTAAAAGTTGAAACAGAAACTGGGGGTGCTGTGAGAATAGCAAATTTCACGGTAGTTAAGTAGCTGAAAAAAATTTGGTTACAATAGCGACGGAATCGAAACTTGTAAAGTAACACTTTAGACTTCCAGAAAACCAAAAGTTATGTTAACAAAATGCGTTTTAAAAAAGTTTTAACAATAAGGTGTTCATTTCATGACCATTTAGCTTCCTCATCACGATACACTTTTATTCAAGATTAAAAGAAGAATTACAACTAAAATAGCGATCAATTTCATAAATATTTGTAAAATGTAAACTTTATATACATCAATCGATTTATTTTCATGCCAGGAATACGGTTTTTACAAAATTTATTAAAAATTTTGATGAAAAAAAATTTCAAAAAATACGAAAATTTTTTTTTTTAAATTACAAAATGATATAATTTATAGATTTTAAGTAAAATATAGATTTTATATAGGTTAATCAATTTGTTTCAATGCAAAAAATCTTTTTTTTGGACAAAAAAAATTAAATTTACAGTGTAAATAATTTTTTCGTTTAAATATTTTTACATATTACTTAAAAAGAAATAACAATTAAATGTTATTACTATTAAAATTACCTTGCTTTCATAGCTTCTATAGTAGCGACCACTGGATCGGTTAACTTGCTTCTTAACTCCGATTTAAGAGAACTGTGTCCAGAATAGTAAATAATTGCAGAAGGTACAAGATTTTCATCAACTAGTCGGCAATTTGGATTTAAGTTGTTTTTAGGAGGTGTTGTATCTAATGGAAAAGTAATTTTCTATAATTAAAGGTTTAAAAGCAATAAATTTTACTTTTTAAATAAAATTTTTTTCATAAGGTCGGAATGAAAGAAAGGCCTTTTCACCCGATCGTCAGGAAACTTGAGGGAAAGGACAGGTGAAATTTTAACTCATCGAAATTAATGTTGTTAAGGGGTATCAATTTTTGTCTGTCATTATTTATCAATCTAAATGATTGATTGTTCAGAAATATGAAAAAATGTATTAAAAAATCTACAATGAAAAGTAATAAAAGTTGCGACAGAAGTTTAAATTTTTAGTTTTTGAAAATTTCGAGTTTTATTCAAAAAATTATTAATGAATTAATGGTTTTTCAATATCCCATAGTATATTACAGTTTTAAATACTTAATATTGTACTTAATACTTTTTAAACAACATAAATCTTATAAAGATCGGTAATTTAATATAAATAAAACCACGGATATTCAAGATAAGTATAGAAGCACAAGTGACATCAGACACTAATAACCGCCATATTAGTTTTTTAAAAAAGCTATACGGCATTTAACAGTACAGATAATAAGCTTTTATTTACATTTGTACATATGCCATTTTGGGCAGGGGGGTCTCCCGTTGTCAGAGAATGTCGAGAACTGCGAATCAGTGAGAATCTCGGATACGAGTACTTTTCGGTATCCAAAATGATCATAAGCTTGTAAACGCACTGAAACGGACGACTTTTGTATGGCTATTAATCAAGAAAAGACAATTAAATGGATGCAGAAACAATGGAAAATTAAATTAGAAACAAAAGTGAATAATTATTTATTAAAGAAACGTACATTTAAACAAAAAACAATTATACTCATCAATTCAAACCTCTGCATTTAAAACATTGTAAACAGTGTACTGATTGTAATTTTACCATGCAATTCAAAAAATATGGTTTTCTACCTACCTTACCGACACTGGATATTAATTTAACACGGGTTTTTCGATTTTTCAATTTCAAAAGCAATCCAAAATTATTATAATATTATTAAACATAATATAGTGCTCATTTTTAATTTCCCCTTTAATTTTCTCTTTCCTTTCAGCTGGGTGGATATTGGGTCAACATTAGGAATAACGTAAAAAAAATTGATAAATAAGCTAAAATTGTTCAAAAAACATTTTGTAATTGAGAGATGGACTTCTTAAGAGTTCACTTCTGCATTGTTTATGTTAAATTAATTGAGAACTAGTGATGTATTCCTCGCTCGCTAACGCTCGCTCGTTTATAGTTGTACTTATTGTTGTTTACTTATTGTAGTTTATGTATATTATATATATAATTTATGTTTTAAATTAATATCTTATTAATATTGTATAAAATTTATCTTAATTTTGATCAGTATCATTGAAGGATGAAATGACAATTGTTAAATATTAGATGTTTTTTTTATTATAGTTATGACAACAATATTAATTATATTATATTATATAATAATATATCATATTATATTATAATATATTTTTTTTATCTTAAATTATATTATATTATATTGCTGTAAATTGCCCCACAAACACATGGAGATTTTGCAAATTTTTGAGAAAAATGTTTGTAATAAATCGAAAAACCTTTTAAATTATCGGTTTTTATTTTTATTATCCAGAGTAAACCTTTATAAAGAGATTCTTGTTTGATTTTATATATATTATTTGTTGTCCGGAATTAAGTGCACCAAAAAAGGTTCCTTTTGAAAGACGTCACCTACACATACAAAATTAAACTCAATACTCTCCAACAGTTTTATAAAAAATTTTCTACATAATTTGCAACAATAATTAAAAGAATTTTTTATTTTTTTGGCACAATTACAATATGACAGATGATTGTAGTCAATGTAAAAGCGATAATTGTGCTATGTGATACAGGATGCAGGTGTCCATCTATGTTTTGAGAATAATTTCAATTCTATGAAAAAAAATAGAAAAGCAGATAATAGATTTGTTGTGCCGTATAATCCTTATTTGCTATTACTTATAGAGGGTCACATTAACATTGAACCAGTATCTTCATCCATGCATTCAGTCAAATATTTTTTTAAAGGACATGACTGCGCTTTAATTGAAATGAAAACTGTGGATAATGATATTAAAAGTGAAAATATTGAATCAACTAAAGATTCAAATGATGTAAAAATTAATAAAGAATATAATGAAATAAAACAATATGAGAATACAAGATATGTATGTCCTCCTGAAGCAATGTTTAGATTGCTTGAATTTAAAATACATGAAATGTCACATACAATTTAAAGATTAGCTGTTCATATTGAAAATGAACAAAACGTATATTTTAAAGAAGGTTCAGAAGAACAGTTCTTAAAGAGAAATAATAACACTACACTTACTGCATGGTTTAAATTAAATAAGGTAGATTCAGAAGCACAAAATTTACTATATGTCAATATGCCGCAACATTCTGTTTTTTGTAAAATAAAAAAAACGCTGGCTCTATACCTACGCTAACGTAAACTGATTTCCAAAACTATAGTTACGCGAAGTGTAACCTTGGCGAGAGGGGGTGGATATGGCCGAAAATATTTAGCAGAAATTGTGGGGTGGAGTCTACAGCAGCGGTGAACGCAAAATAGTAAACACGGCCTTCAGCCGCGTAAGGTACTGCTCGCTTTTCTTTTTAAAAACATCTTGGCGAGAGGGGGTGGATATGGCCGAAAGTATTTTGCGAAATTCGTTGGATCCTGAATAATGTGAATTTTATTTTTTTTACGATAACTTTTTCGAAACTTTTTTCATTTCGCGTAGGTTTAGTTTTGGGAGATCGGTTTACGTTAATTTTTCATTTCACTGTCACTTCGCGTAGGTTTAGTTTTGAAATATCAGCTTACGTTAGCGTAGAAATAGGCACTTCGTAAAAAAAATTTGGAACAAAAGAATTAAAATAAAGAAACCTATTATAAGTAGAATGTACATAGTAAGTCCACGTTATCGTGAAAAATTTCATCTTAGATTATGGCTCTTACATGTAAAAGGTGCTAAATTTGTTAACATAATATAATAGAAGATGTTTCGTTTTAAAATAAGAAATGTTAAAATTATTAAGTTAAAAACAATTGATTTTAATGACACTTAAAATTAGGCATAATATTATAGGTTCCTAACTAAAAATTTAAAAAACAACAATAAATAATTTAAAAAAACCATAAAAAATTAAAAAAAATTGTTTATATGTATCTTTTTAAAAATAGAGTAATTTTAAAGGTATATATCCAAAAATTCGTAAAAAATTGCATAAAATTGCAAAATAACCCATTATTTGTGATTAAAATGCAAAATAACCCATTTTCAGGTTAAAATTGAAAAAACATGTTACAAAATAAAAGTGTGTAAGATTTTCTAAAAACATATAGCAAAGTATTTTGATTTATTTGAAAATAAGTGAAAATAGATTTTCCAAGGACGGTGTTGAGGTCACGGGGTCGGTGTCGTTTTTGGAAATTTGTTAACTTAATATAATAGAAGATTATTTAATTATTAAGGAAAAAAATGAAATTTGTCAAATCTGTCACTTTAGATAGATATGCACGATACCTACATCGAATTACGTTTTAATTCCGAACGGCGGAACGCGCGTCAAGATTTGAAAAGAGTTACAAATTTTAAACATTCATCAAATAGAAAATATGCAATTTTTTTCTTTATTTATAAAAAAAACTTTAGAATTTTTTTTAAAATAATAAAAATTAAACTGATATATTTTTCATAAATTTTTACTTATAACTTTTTAAAAAATTCTTAAATAAAAGATCAAAAAATTTAGTTAAATTTGTATTTTGCCATCATAATTTTCAACAAAAATATAATTTTTTAGACATAAAAATAAGAAAAATTTAGATTAAAATTTATTTAACAATTACAATTTTTTAACAAAATTCTTTTTTTTTTAAAAAAGTTGCAGAATTTTTATTTCATATTCACAATTCTTTAATGAAATTGTTTTTTTAACCCTCGGAGCACATACTGGGTCACACAGACCCTGTCATTAATTTCAATGAAGTGTAATTTGAAAAGTCGGCAATACAACACGAACCTAAGGCCATATAGTGGTAACTAACTAATAAGGAATAATAAGTAACATGATAATCCAAAGAAAATAATATAATACTAGTAAATATGTTATTAAAAAAGTATTGTTTTAAAATGTTGTGTCGAAAATCACATTTTTATCGTCTTAAAAGTTACCTTCGTTAAACTACAAAATAAATACCTTTTTTAAAAAATAAAATAAGGTGGTATTTTTTCCCTTATTCTAACACACTTCGAGAATATAAATCCCAATTTTTAGCTTAAAATATTAAAAATTACAAAAGTTACATTTTTTTTAAATTCAATTTTTTCTTTTTAATTAGTTAACTTCACGAATTTTTTTTCAATATGCAAATAATTTAATAATATTTCTAAACTGCATATTCTTATTTTACAAGGTTCAATGAATAAAAAAATATTTTTTTGTGTTGATCAGTCCAATAGTTCAAAAATGGGGGAGTTTTGTAAAGTAAACAGGGTCACAGCGACCCAGACTGTGCTACTTGTTCGAAAAAAGAGGTGTGTGCTCCGAGGGTTAATACATGTCACAAAAAATTAATCATTTATTTATACTAATGCTAATAGTCACTACTTTTAAGTAATAACATCTGCAACTTTGTGCACCCTGCGTGCTGCTGCCATCTAACGGCGTCTGCAACTAATATAGGGCGATAGTTAAAAGTAAAGAAATAGTGATTATTAGTATTAATATAAATAAATTGGTATAAATGATTAATTTTTTATAACATGTATTAAAAAAGCAATTTCATTAAGGGGTTATGCCACTCTAGAGACCGAAAAAATAGGTGTTTTATGTGAATTTTTTTTAGAAAAACCATAAAGTCAATTAAAAATATAATATAAGAAGTTTATTATACATCTTTTTAGGTGTAAAAAAATAATTTCTTATAAATATTTCTTGAAGAATGGTGGCGCTGTAGCGGTCGTCCTTCGACTCCTCTATGGTTCAAGGGGTACGTGGCCGAACTAACTGCTCCTGTAAATTTTGAAATATCTTGAGTATCTAAATTTTTTTTTATTATATATTACAATAGCTAAAGTAACACGTAGGATTTTTTCGATATATTGATTCATGATCAAATGGCGCACTTCTAAAGTTAAACTTTCTAATTTCGACTAAAAAACCATCAGTTAATAGTTAATAACAAATGAACTATATAGAATAAAAAAAAAATCCTACGTGATACCTTAAAAAATGTATTTTTAAAGATGTGTGTCAAATTTGAACCTAATCGGTTGGAAATTGTACGAGTTGTTGGTTCGGCCAACTCGAAAAATGTAGTTTGGAGATAAACGCGTTTAAAGTTTTAAGTTGTAAAAAACTTAAATAATTTCACAATACCTTTAATCTGCAATGCCTGCACCATATAATTGACCACTATAGTCTAGCAAGTAACTAGCGCCTTTGAAAACATCTGCCGTATACCTGCTGTAGATCCTTCAAAGATCACCCCCCGTAGAACTGACAAAATGAGCTCGCCGCGTACCGTGCAGCCTTGCAAGGAACTTCGAAAATAAATTATTTAGAGATTTTTCCGAGCCATAATCCTGCAATATGTTATTTCTGAGACCCTAAGGAACTATTTAAAGCAAAAAAAAAAAAAGCGATTTTTTGAAAATCCTAGAGTGGCATAACCCCTTAAAGAATTGTGAATATAAAATAAAAATTCTGCAACTTTTTTTAAAAAAAAAATTTTTTTGTTAAAAAATTGTAATTGTTAAATAAATTTTAATCTAAATTTTTCTTATTTTTATGTCTAAAAAATTATATTTTTGTTGAAAATTGAGGGGCCGGAAACAATAACAACCATTACGCTCGGCCGCTCACTCTGAAGTCAGTCAACACGACAAAAAGGTGAAAAAATTGAAAGTCAAAATTCGGATATTTCAAAAGTACTACTTCATAGAAGATTAAAAACCGCATCTTTTTTCTCTCAGAATTTCTTTTCTACATCTTCTCTTAAAATATTTATTCATTACTATTTCAGGAAGTTTTCTGGAAAATTTCAAATCAATTCCTGTTATAGTTTTTAAAAAAATTAATCAAGACATATTAACATTATTAGTAATATTATGTAAAATATTTAATTTTTGCCTTTTTTTAATGTTTTAATGGCTTTATTAGACCTAATTTAGTATGTATACCAAGTTGTAAACAAATTTATTACTATTTGTGAAAGAAATAATCGTTTATATTTTAAAATTTAATTAAATTGGAGATAATTTTTTTTGTGTTTTTTGCTTTTATTATCAAAAATATTGGATTTAGAAGTAATTTCTGAGAGAAAAAAGATGCATGTTTTTATCCTCTATAAAGTAATGCTTTTAAAAAATCAGAATTTTGAGTTTCAATTTTTTCACTTTTTTGACGTGTTGATTGGCTTCAGAGCGACCTGTCGAGCGTACTGGTTGTTATTGTATCCAGCCCCTCAATTATGATGGCAAAATACAAATTTAACTAAACTTTTTGATCTTTTATTTAAGAATTTTTTAAAAAGTTATAAGTAAAAATTTATGAAAAATATATCAGTTTAATTTTTATTATTTTAAAAAAAATTCTAAAGTTTTTTTTATAAATAAAGAAAAAAATTGCATATTTTCTATTTGATGAATGTTTAAAATTTGTAACTCTTTTCAAATCTTGGCGCGCGTTCCGCCGTTCGGAATTGAAACGTAATTTGGTATAGGTATCGTGTATGGGTACGGTCACACTATCCCATGCATGCACTGTGCTTGCATGCAGAAACATTTGGCCGGTCACACTTCAACGAAATCTAGTGAATGTTTAGTAACTTTCTAGTAATTTTCCAAAAATTTCGGTTGTAACTAGAAAGTTACTAAACATTTACTAGATTTTGTTGAAGTGTGACCGGCCAAATGTTTCTGCATGCATGCACAGTGCATGCATGAAATAGTGTGACCGTACCCTATATCTAAAGTGACATATTTGACAAATTTCACTTTTTTCCTTAATTAAATAATTCTCAATTAATTTAACATAAACAATGAAGAAGTGAACTTTTAAGAAGTCCACCTCTCAATTACAAAATGTTTTTTGAACAATTTTAGCTTATTTATCAATTTTTTTTACGTTAATCCTAATGTTAATTCAATATCCACCCAGCTGGGTGGACATTGGGTAAATCAAATCCGCCAGGGGAGGTTAAAATTGATGAGAATAATTGTTTTCTGTTTAAATGTACGTTTCTTTAATAAATAATAATTCATTTTTGTTTCTAATTTAATTTTCCATCGTATCTGCATGCATTTAATTGCCTTTTCATGATTAATAGCCATAAAAAAGTCGTCCGTTTCAGTGCGTTTACAAGCTTATGATCATTTCAGATACCGAAAAGTGCTCGTATCCGAGATTCTCACTGATTTGTTTACCAGCTATTGAGCTCGTAACCAAATCCGCAGTTCTGTTATCTTTTATTTTTTACTGAACCCTTAAATATATATTTTTTTCGGGAAAGATTTTTAAAATATTTTTCCGGAGAATCGGCTTCAGGGAGAAGGTCATTGGGGGAACTGTATTCGGGCAAATATCAATTTGGAAAATGATAGGGAAATAATCGCTGTATTCATAGTTTGTACAAAATTCAGGACAGAAAGAATCTTCTACGAAATCGAATGCAACAAAAAATTTTAAAACTAATCAAAAAAAAAAAGATTTGAAATTTTTTAACCCAAAAAAGTTACAAGACCCCTTAAAGCAGAAGGTGAAAAATTGTGAACAATATTTATTATTTCAAAGGTAGGAACGTGGCGTTCACAGGTTACTTGACAGCCGGGTAAAATAGTTATTTATGATACAAGTGCGTATAATCAGATTTACGCACGTGTATCATACAATATTTTTTGCAACACCCACCTCTAAAGTTAAGTACCTATTATGAAGAATTCCAACTCTCTATTAGAATAATTTCGATTGTATAGAATTAAATATGTAAATCAATCGAAGATCAGAAAAATTTCATTAGGCAGTAGTGTATAAATTTAAAAGTAAAGTTTATTTTTTAATTTTGTTGTAAAACAATCCTTATATTATGTGAGAAAAATTTTGGTGCACGGAAAAAAATCAATGGTTGCCACAGCCATACCTTTGGTTGTCTCAACCATATTATATTGAAAAATACGTCCCAACCATACCTCCGGTTGCTCCAGCCATATTAAATAGCTAGCTTTAAATTGTTAGCACAACTAGAATATATGGCTGTGGGAACAATATATATGGAAAACATACAAATGCTAATATGGATGTGACAACCATTTTTAATTGATGCTTCGACCATTATTTAGTGTACCATATTAATATTGTTGAAGCAACCATTTTATATGGTTACAATTCATGTTTATTTTATTTGTTTAATATTATCAATAAGGTTATTTTTGATTAATTTAAAACATTGAGTCCCATAAAAACGTATTTATTTTTTTGAAATAATCGCCAAATACAAATTCGTTAACAAAATAAACAATCGTATCGCACCTTTTATTATAGTATTATAATTATAGTGCGTGCCTAAGTGTCACAAACATTGAAGAATTTCCCCATTTACAAATTATGACTGGGAATATGCGGAATATATTCAAGCCTATTTTTTTAAGGAATCAATGCACTCAGCTTCCATTTTTTAACTTAAAAAACACATTAACCGGGATCAATATAATTCTTAAATGATTATAGAAAATGTTTAGGACTGCGGACATATACACGTTTCGCGACGCTTGGAATTAATGCGAGTAATATAGACGTAATATATTGCATCACCGCGCAGACAAGGTGCGCAGGCGTCTATAGGGGCCTTAGCAATTCAAAAATGGATAGGATAACAAAATTGTTAAAATCCAAACCAATATTGTTACCTCAACTAAAGCTATGGTTGATATATCCATATCATAGGTACAAATATTATACGGTTGCCACAACCATTCTTTTTTGTCAATGTATCCATACTTAAAGTTGCTTCAGCTATATGTATGGATGCCTCAACAATATTATGACCAACAATATTTTTATGGTTGGGACAACGATACCTTTTCTTTCCGTGTGCGTAAAGTAAATTTTGATGTGCGTAAAGTAAAATTCAGTGCGTAAAATGAATCACTTTACACACCGTTTTAAAAAGAGCACACTTTTCGGTGTGTAAAATTTAACTTTAGAGGTTAGTGTTGCAAAAAAGACATTTGTTCTACCGTGTAAAAATGGCGTCATTTTTACCCTATAAAAAGGGACGCCATTTTCAGACGGAAAATAAATTATGGCTTCACACCAGGATGACAGGTTTCTAAAAGCGCCATATTTGTGCTTGTGGGATAAAATAGTACATTGTGCAACGAGAACGAAAAGAAGCTGTTTTCCGACGAGTTTGTAAGTTGATACACAAGCAAAGCGAGAGCAGCAATCAATCTCATCGGAAAATGCTGCTTTCCGCTCGAGTTGCACACAGTGCTTTGTACAACATCTGCAAGAAAAAAGCTATTTGATATGCTGTTTTGAAGAATAAATTAAAGGTTATGTTGTTTAATATACCTGAAAGTGTGCAGTAAAGTGTACATTGCTGCACATTTTATCAGAATGCAGAAATCAATAACTTTGTGCTGCATTTAAATTAAAGTAAAGTGTCACTTTTTCTTGCAGGTGTTACACAAATGATATTTAATAGAAAACATACTTACAAAGTGTAAATTCACTTCCAGAATTTTTTAAGTAACTTTGAACAAAATTTTTAATGTCTAGCACAGTTTCCTCAGGACGAAATAATCCTTGCAGCACAAGTTGATCAGGAAATTGTATTCTTATAATAGTCCAGGGGTACTTATTCACAAGGTCAACTTTCTTTTTATTACTCTCCGATTGACGTTGCACATCAGTTAATAGTGGAGAATCTTCAATTGTACTATTTAATTTTTTTGCATCTCTTAATAACACTTTCGCATCCTCAACTGTTAAGTCAAAAAATGAATCAGGCAAATCCTCCTGAGAAATAGTTACAGCTCCAGCTTGATTAAATAAAAGAGCATTTCTTTCTCCCAGCTAAAAGGTAATTAGATTTATTGATTTATTTCATCAAATCCAATGAAATTCTGATAAAATGAAGGCATAGTAGGTGAAAACGTTCTCTGTGAGAACAAATTTATACTAATTGTATATGAACAGAATTCATATGCATTTTTATTTTGTAAATAGATTTTTTATGTTTAAATAAAAAACAACTTACGTATGCAACATCTATTATTTCATGCGTTAACTTATTACGAATTTCATTGGAAATCTCTTTAGTTTCGGTCGGATTAATCTTTTCGCACTTATTTTTTGTCTTTGGATTACATTTGCTTTGAGAGGAAGATGTGTCCTTGGCCTGATCTTTTCGCAGATCATTATCCTTTTTTTGCTTTGCTATTTCACTTTTTATAGAATTAATTGGATCTAGAATTTTATTCGAAATAAATTTTGTAAAAGATGACGATGTTGACGGGTTATCATTTTCTTTTGTAGTCATCTTCTTTGCAGGAATGTAAACGTGAGCTTGTTCCTTTTTGCTGTTTGGATCTCGATGTAAAAGCCTCAACATAGCCTTACCTTTAGTAAGTCCTAAAGATCTTAATGTTGTATTTTCTAAATCTTTCCCCGATATCTACAAACAACAAAATTTAAATTTAAAAAAAATGCTTTTGTTAAGGGAAGTAAAAATAACGATTAGATAAAATCAAAAAGATTTAAACTCTTTTATTTTTAATAAATGCAAACCACCCTTGGAGAGTAACACCTCTATTGGGGATAACGGATACAGTTTCTATCCTTTTCAATAGGAAGTGGAAAATTTAATCAATCTCTACCAAGCATTTGGATAAAATTACTATCAAAATTAATACTAAATGAAAATGTAATACTTTATTGTCAAGGAGGTTCTACAATAGATGCAAGATCAAGTCCAAGTACAAGTGCAAATTTATTGTACTTGGATGCGCGCGCAACGTATTGCCAACTGTCGCTGAGGCGCAGTTGAAAATACTGGTTTGCGTCAGTTTCCGTTCTCTTGGTGCCGGCTCTTTAAATTTTTTGTTTAAAATTAAACAACGTGGGATTCAATTTTTAATTATAAATTAAATAAATTAAATATAATTGCTGCAATTGCTGGTTGCATTTAATTAAGTGAGGTAAGTAATCTTAAAAAAATAAGTAATATTATTTTGAAAATAAAAAAATTGTGGGTTATGTGTACATAACCTATATGCAGTTTTAAAACATTGAAAGTAATTTTACATTTTTCACAGCGTAATAAAATTGTAATTGTTTAATTAATTAATTAATTAATTGTGTTTTAAATATTTTATATATGTATATATATATATATGTATTTATAATTTTTAGTTCGCATTTGTTAAATATATTGACTGCGTTTCAACTGAGGTTCCATGGTATATTGACTCCGTACTTCATTTAAAAAGGACTTGAAAAAGGTAATAATATATTAATTTTATTTTTAATACCTAGAATTTGAAGTGTTTTAAAAATAATTAAATTTCAAAAGGTTTTAAAATGAAATTTTTGGAATATTTGAATTACTGTATAAAAATAAATAATAGGTAATATTTAAATATTTATTTCTAAAAGTAATAAATGGAAATTTCGAATGAGTTTATTATTTAAAATTCTGAAAAAAATAGGTTTTTCAAGAATCACACTTTTTTGCAGATAATTGTATTTTTGAAAATTTAAAATTGAATGGTTTTTGTATAGTTTAAATTTTGTAAAATTGTATTGAAAATAATTAAACTTTTTAAATAATTTTATTAAAGCTTTTGAAAATAATCGTTTTTTTGAAATGTTTTAAATGCAAATAATTATAAATATTACAAAAAGTCACAATTGTAGTTATTCACAAATATGTGTATTTTACTAGCATTTATTTCTGTGTATTTAATCAATTTTACTTTCAATCTGAATATTATTTTTGGTTAAGATAAAAAATTTTTTAATTTCCGATTATTCTTTTTTTGAGGACGCTAGAAACTTATTTCACCTAATTTTTCTTTCATGAATATTATTAAATTATTATTATTATTTATTTATAATTTATTTATTACATAATTTTTTCTGTACGAAATTTATTTCTTTTGCAGATAAAATGAATGACCTCAATATTCTGTTAATAACTTTGGTCAAAAAGTACCCTGTTTTATATGACAAGTCATTAACAGAATATAGAGATTCTGTTCTTAAAGCGGAAGCTTGGAGGGAAGTCACAAGGGTGTTAAATGAAAAAACCGGTTACAACATCAAAGGTAGGTCGTTAATAAAATTATTTAAAAAGTTTAATTATTTTCAATACAATTTTACAAAATTTAAACTATACAAAAACCATTCAATTTTAAATTTTCAAAAATACAATTATTTGCAAAAAAGTGTGATTCTTGAAAAACCTAATTTTTTCAGAATTTTAAATAATAAACTCATTCGAAATTTGCATATATTACTTTTAGAAATAAATATTACCTATTATTTATTTTTATACAGTAATTCAAATATTCCAAAAATTTCATTTTAAAACCTTTTGAAATTTAATTATTTTTAAAACACTTCAAATTCTAGGTATTAAAAATAAAATTAATATATTATTACCTTTTTCAAGTCCTTTTCAAATGAAGTACGGAGTCAATATACCATGGAACCTCAGTTGAATTAAATAATTTAATTCAGTACACTATTGTTTCACTTCCATTTTTACACACACTGAAAAAGTTCAGATTTACAGTAAAAATATTTGTTTATTCAACTTTTTTAAAAATGTCTTTAATTAGTCAATAAGTAAATATTAACTTATATTCTTTTGAAATCTTAAAATTTATATTCATTTTCTTTCGCTTCTTATAATATTGTTAAAAAAATTGAAATAATTAGGTATTATTAATATACTCGCCAGTTTTTTCATTCCTTTCAATACTCTTTTAGAAATCTGACGCAGTCGATTACAAGAAATAGTAATATTTAATTCATATTACAAAATTCTCATTCCTCTGAATACGGTCCTAAAAACTTGACTCAGGCGATTGCGAGGCATAGAAATACTGAATTTATACCCTAAATTTCCCCGTTTCTCTGAATATGCTCTTAAAAAGCTGACGCAGTCAATTGCAAGGCATAAAGATACCTCATTTAATCTAGAAATTTTCTATTCCTCTAAATACGCTCCTGATGTCATGGCACAGTCAATTAAAAGGAATAGACATATCCACTTCACTCTCCAAATTTCTTATTCCTTTCAATGCGCTTCAGAAATTTTGATACTGTCGATTGAAAGGAATAGATATTTAAAATTTATTTTCATTGGAAAGCTGAGGTTTTTTCCCATGAGCTATGTAAATATGAAAATGGGACAACAATAATTTTGTGAGAAACATAATATTAAATTAGGCGGTGCCTACCTAAATCCTCAAAGATGATCTCCAGGTATACCCCTTATCGGCACCGCCTACTTTAATATTCTGTTTCTCACAAAATGATTGTTGTCCCATTTTCATATTTACATAGCTCATCGGAAAAAACCTTAGCTTTCCAATGAAAAAAAAAAAAATACCCGAAGGGGTGAAAATCGAAAAATAAGGGTTGATTTTGAAAAAAGGTGGTCAAAATTTTTTTTTTTTAAATTTCGTATACATTTTTGAAAAGTACGTGAAAAATGCATTAAAATTCATTATAGATAAATTAAAATCCATTAACTTTTGTCATAGTTATACGGATTTGAAAATGACAATGTTACCCTTAACGTCAAAACTTCAACCCCCTCTACTTTCTACAAATATTTTTTTCAAGCGTTTATATTTTACGGATTTATTACTATCATATAGGACAACAATTTACCAAAATATGAAGCCAATCCCAGAACATTGACTTTTTGGACTGGGGCGATTGAAAAAGAATCTTATATATATATATATATATATATATATATATATAATATTTAAAACACAATTAATTAATTAATTAATTAAACAATTACAATTTTATTACGCTGTGAAAAATGTAAAATTACTTTCAATGTTTTAAAACTGCATATAGGTTATGTACACATAACCCACAATTTTTTTATTTTCAAAATAATATTACTTATTTTTTTAAGATTACTTACCTCACTTAATTAAATGCAACCAGCAATTGCAGCAATTATATTTAATTTATTTAATTTATAATTAAAAATTGAATCCCACGTTGTTTAATTTTAAACAAAAAATTTAAAGAGCCGGCACCGAGAGAACGGAAACTGACGCAAACCAGTATTTTCAACCGCGCCTCAGCGACAGTTGGCAATACGTTGCGCGCGCATCCAAGTACAATAAATTTGCACTTGTACTTGGTTCTTTGATATATCAAATTACCAAACTGTTATAATAATTATGCATAAATAATATAGCCTATATAGAAGTCTCTAGCACTTCTGCTTAACACTAGAACCATTGAAGATCTTGCATATTTAGAACTACCACCGCACAGTGGTGCAAATCCCTGTTGAAATTTCCGACCTCGTTTACGACGTCGTATTCTAAGTAGTTTGCGACGTAGTAAATGACGTAGAAAACGACATAGTAAACGACGTCGTAAATGAAAGCGGAATTTGGGATAGCAAATGACTTCGTTTACTACGTCGTTTACTACGTCGTTTACGATGTTGCAAAAATTATTTTAATATTATTTATTTAGTAATTTTTTTTTAATTTAGTAATTAAAAAATCAATTAAAAAAAAAATTTTATTATTTTTTAATAGTTATTATTATTATTTTATTTTATTTTTAATAATTAAATTAAAATAAAAAAATGGTCATCAAAGTATTAGTGAAACCATTTCTTCCAAAAAAGAATTTGTCTCAAATCTAATAAATAGGAGAGACATCGGGCAGAAAAAAATTTCGACAAGAAAAAAATTTTCGATGACTGCTTATATACCAATCTAATGGCACCTCAACTGCGAGAAACAGTTATGATGTTGACCCTCCCTGTGGCGTTGAGCGAACTAAAATCCAGAGCTGAGCCATCAGCGCAGCGCGGAAACATTTGAAAAATTTGATTTTATTCCTTTTTTTATTTCGACCAAATAAAATATCGACTAAATAAATTATTGACCACTTTATATATTGATCATTTAGAATTTCGAATAAACAAAATATCGACCAAATAAAATGTCGACCACTTTAAATATCGATCATTTAGAATTTCGATCAAATAAAATATCGACTAAATAAAATGTCGACTTCCATACCTGTCGTTCTTTTAGAATTTCGACCAAATAAAATATCGACTTAAAGTAATTCGATCAATTAAAATTTCGAACTTTTTAATTTTTGGGAAAAATCATGCGCCACAAAAAAATATCAAATTTTCTCTCCAAAACAATTGATTAACTAAATACCGTAGTAATTAGTTGATTTTTTTTACTACGAAAATTTATTCGTAGCACAAAAGAATATCACAATGAGAAAATAATTTTTTTTTCAAATTTTTCTTTGAAAAAAAATTATTCGTGTTTTTAAAAAAATCACGATGAAAAATAATTTTGTTGTAAAAATTTCTCTGTAAAAAAATTTAACAGAAAATTATACGTAGCACAAAAAAAATATTACGATGAGAAATTTACTTAT